CCGAACGGTATGCTTTCTGTGTGGGGCGGACAGGGCGATTTTCATGCCGGGAAAATTTCCAGAGAGGGAAGAGCTGCGTTTATGCGTGTAAACGGTCCCCATGACAAACAGGCGTGATCAGTGTCCCGTAACGCTCCCGGGGCCTGCGAGCACACGCGCGCGCGGGCGAAGCCTAATCTATTCGTCATCCATCAAAAATTATTTGGTTTTGAAAAACAGTTCATGTTTCAGCAACATCAGTGCATGGTAGGCATTCCATATCCCGGGGATATGAGGAAGGCGAAAAGTAAAGCCACGCGAAGGAATATCGCGCGAACGCTCACTATGCCTTGCTAACAGTGTACTTCAGTCCATTTTACTTGCGCATAGTTACTACCTAGCCTGTGTCCCATATCACACGCAAAGAGGCACATGCAATAGTCCATCATGAAATTATTTGCATTACAGACAGCGCAATAGCTCTAAAACACCCAGTTCACCTGGCACAGGTGAGCCATCTGTCAAATCTGGCAACACGGTCGCTCACCGTCGGCGGATCGTCATTATTGACCATATTCTATAGATGGCAAGCCGCTAGAAGCAGAATTAGTCGCAACCAGAACTTGGTGCTAGTGACATATTCCCAATATTAATAAACTAGAAACCTCTCGCTACCGGGGCCTTAAGGCATAACCCAGATAACCTTTCGGTGGTACAGGTTGCTAGTGATGGCACCAACTTAAATAAAGTAGTGCAGATGCCGACCGGTGGGAAATGTTATCACGGCAGCCCCTGTAGTACACAAGCACAGATTACAAGATGGCATCGTTTGTGAGTCCTCCTCTGCTTGGCTGGTGCTTATGCAGACAGATTATTTAGGACTTGAGGCTGGTCTGCTCTCTCTCCTATCCAAACTTCACGGTAATTTTAATTGCGATTCTGGAACTCATCAAGAGCTTTAATAGTTTTCCAACACAATTGAATGTCGCCAACGGCTTCTTCTTTCAAAATCAGTTCACTTGAAACTTAAGACAGGGTTCAAGCCAGGCTTGCTTGATTACTCCCATTTTCGTCGAAATCAGGACTGATGGCTGTTTGATAACAACTCCATCGTCGATTTTGCTGGACACTGTCTTGTCCCGCACTCAGTTCTTGCTGACCTGTCCGTGAACTGACCTAACCTTACGTGACCTGATGTGATCTGAGCTGATGTGACTTGAGGTGACCCGCCCCGACCCGACCTGACCTGACCTGACCTGAGTCAATGTGGACTTGGCTTAGATGAGCCGGCCTGAGCTGACCTGGGATCACCTGAGCTGTCTCCCTCAGGCTCTGAGACGCGTCAGTCGGCGGGGAGCCAGCCAGGCTCTTCACTGCCTGTCACGGCCGAGGAGGGCCGGCTCGTCCTGCTGGTTGCTGCTGCTCTGGCTGGTCGCCATCGCCCTCTTCATCAACCGCTGGGCAAGATCAGGATGCTTGAGCCCTACTGCCAGCCTACAAGATGACGCCGCGGGCGGAGGCGCTCACCGTACAGGTGAGAGTGTGATAACTCTGCCCATCTTGCAGGCAGAGGTGAGTTAACGCTACCCACCTGTACAAGCAAGAAGAAATAGCTGCTCCGCGCACTTCAGAGCCGAGTTATTTTGTCAGCGTTTCGATTATTTTATGACGCACATATGGCGGTGATGCTGGCGGGTAAAACACATCCAGCTGCGAGTTCCGAAAACACGTATGCCAACCAGCCTGCTGCCACTCGGCTTCCACCAGCCTCACACTGCTTACTGTGCAAGAGGTAGAGACATAATCACATCGTTCCGTCTGTAGAGAAGATTACTCCTCTCTTTCTAATGTGTAAGCGAGAGGAGCTCTAGGAGTTTCCGTAGTCGGCACCGGATACCGGCCGCGTTCGACAGCTAGCGTGTAAAGGATGAAGGTGCAAGTACTCCAACTCGTGTTGCCTGGTAACCTCACTTCTCCGCGTACACGCACGTCGGGTATAAAGGACTTGCGAGCGTAATGCATTTGCTTAAAACGCTGATTCGATACGATCTTCGGCATCATTCGTCAGCATGCATGACGAACTTGTCGATGTCGTTTGCTGTAGTAAATTCAGTAGCTTGTCCAAAATTAATTTATCTAAGTAAGCTATTTGTTGCCGTGGGATAGAAATAATCATCGTACTTACAATCTTGCACTGTCCCACGCAAACAAGAGCAGCTGTTCTTTATTTTATCGTTGGAAAGGGCAGAAAATGGTGTCCGTCTGATCAACGTCCGACGTCCTTTGCCAAAAATGTTTATGTTTATGTTAATTCATTTTCTCCTTTGCTAAATAACTTAATCAAATTGATTCACGATGTCGTGCGGATTCGCCAAGATGATGCTCCGGAAGGGTAAATACAAGTATTGCTATTCGTACATTCGTACCTTCCACACAGCGCAGGGATGCTGCACGGCCTAGGAAACTTCATTTTGCATAAGAGGTACTTACTTTATTGACCAGTGAAATGTTCGGCCCTTGTAAATGATGCGAGCCTCAGCTCCCGCCGAATGGCGCATCGTGTAAACCAGACGTCCCGGCTCGGTCATTGGCTGATTTATGTTTGCGCCGAAGACGAGCCGTCGCCGTCTACCGCGGCGAGAACGGACATCTGACACGGACAGTTGTAAATTGATAGTGTCGCACACCCTCGACTGTATCCCAGCGGACGCTTCCTATTCAGCCGGGTAGCCGGCTGTCGTCTGATCACCCCCACGGCGCCCAAGTCCACGCCGTGCGCTCAGCACAGACTACCGGTCGCCGAGGTCCCGGCGCCGCGGCCGGCGCAATAAAACACACTGCGCTACTGGCAAAGGAAAGATCAGCGCACCTCGAGGGACCGGCTGACAGTCGGGGAGCTATAACATGATCTATCGCGGGGACGCGCGCGGTCGCTGACGTCACTGAGGGACGGCGTGTGCTCGTGACGCGTCTCCGCGGGCGGAGCCGGACGCGAGCCGGACGTCGAAGTGCCGCCTCCCCGGCCGATGCGGCGGCGCGGCAGCCGCGGCTGGCCGAAAGGTCGCAAGGCGTGGCTGCCTTATCGCCCGCTGGTGCTGGGGCTGAGAGCTTAGCGACGGACGTCCAGCGCCGACGACGGGTGTGGTGAGATATGATCGGCGCCGGTGGTTTGTTCGAGCGGCTCAAATCAATACCACGCCAGCATGGGACAGCATGTGAAGCAGAAAGGTATGCTCCATTTACTTACATGGGATTTTCAGATTTGAAAATTCAACAAAAGTCGAGGAGCAAGTGATTCTGCTCGCAACAGTGAAGTGGACGTTTTCAGCGTGTTTTTTTTTCCAAGGGAACACGTGCTTAAGCCAAGTACTGTCTTGAAATAAAGTCTGCACGCGCAAAGTTCGCTCATAGTATCGACTTTTGTTAACTGCTGTGGATATACCGGCCTGCGGCGATCAGCACTGGTTCTTCTTGGCGTGCGTGGCGTATGAAGACGGGATAACCAGTTACAATAATGGTGACATGCCCACCTAACTGAGCTCAAAAGTGTGAAGGTGCGGACGGCCTTGTGTGCATGAGTCAGAGGCGATGCGTGCCGGTGAAGGTGCGCGTAAAAGCTGCTGAATGTGTATTTGCGTCTTGATTTGTATGATACGGTCTTGGAGTCATTCACGGCAGTATGGCCATTGAGCCCCTTGTCAAGAGAGTCGCGGAAAAAATTACACGCAAACGCTGTTTGTAAAGCACACTAAGGCGAGCATATTAGCACGTTATGCAGGTGTGGCCGCCGCTCCTGCGATGGATGCTCGGTGGGGTGTTCGCTTCAGCATTCACACCTTTAACGTGTGCATGTCACTCGGTTGTCTCAGTGCGATGAGCTCTGATGGTGGCTGTTTGCATACCGCACGAGTCCTTGAGCAAAACTGCTTCCGTTCGGCTCCGGTTCAGTATCGTGCGGTGGCATGTGTGACAACCGGCCCGATGGTTTTCTGTTGTGTCAGGTTGTTTGAAAAGAGGATAAACACCAGGGGCTCAGCGCTCGGAAGGTCACGTGGCTGGTCAGCGGATGGCTGAGCAGCCAGCCCAGTCTCTCACGTGGGCCCGAAGCATGATTAAGTTTCCCGTGGCCAAAAAATGCATTTGTACAAAGCTTAGAACTACTTTCCACTTTGTCCAAATACTGTTTGACGCACATGCTTACATCGAAAAGCAGAAACGGGCCTGCGAGAAAACAAGAATTGTCACGGGAAAGGTGATGACATTCCGGAGCACGAGGTGGCGCACGTGACAGGCTACGATATCAAGGCAGCACTGGCTGGTAACACCAACATGGGCGTCCCGGGACATCGTATTACCGAAGACGGCGCCCAGACTCTGTACCCCGTCACAAAGTTTGAGATTCATGTGACGGAAGTGATGTGAAATTTGGGATTATCGCACAAATTTGGCTGATTTTCCAACGCAAGGAGTTGAGATTTGCTGGCATCAACCTTGAGAGCACTGGCGCAGAACCTTTCATCTAAAGCCGCCAGCGCAGCTCTGATCCGGCCATAAGCTCTGCGCGTTTGCTCTTCCGTTCTTTGTCTTTATCCGTTTTGGCGGACACAATAGCCCGACTCTCGCTGTGATGTAGCGCGACGCTGTCGCCAGCAGAAAAGAGCACTAAGCTGTTCAAAAGAACGCCGAGTAAAAGCGACCGGAGGCCAGATCTCTGAATCGCGCTCCAGTGCCTTTCGGGAGAAGTCGCGGGGGTAGCACAAGCCACGCAGTTCGCCGTGTATGTCCTGTAGCGAGACGATCTGAGCACGACCCGAGCTAGACCGCCTCGGTTAGCTGTGAACCATGAGATGTCGACCACGTGCGGCTGAAGCTCCCATAGCGGCGTTGTGCGCGTGAATATTGCTGGATGTGTGCGGACGGGCGAGCCTGCATGCGTGCGGGCTTGCGTGCGTGCGGGGGGGCGAGCGGGCGTGCGGTGGGGCAAGCGAGCGTGGAGGCGGGAGGGGGGAAGGGGGAGGGGGGCTCTGCGTGCATGCGTGTGGCGAGGGAAGCGTGCGTGTGTGCGTGTGCTCGCGCGTGCGTATAGCGTGTGTTGGCTTGCCGAAATGCAGTGCCTGTTTGGAAGGGAGTGTAAGCCATATTGGACTATTCTAATGCGCATCGCACATAGACGTCGTCAGGAATAACGTTTATTTTTTTACAAATCAGCGTAATTAAAAATGTCGCTGCGTAATATACAAACTGACCTCATATGACTTCAGGTGATGGCCTGATGTTACCTCATGTGGTGTCAGTGACCTTCTGGCAGACAGCCAAATCAGTCAAAGACTGACGTCAGAACGTTCCAAAATTAGGAAGTCAACTGCGAGTTACCGCATGCGGAGGCAGCAACTGTCGTTCTGGTGACGTCATGGTTCAGAACTAGACCTAAAAGGAATTTACATCTTGCGGAATGTAAAAATGATTGTATTTCAGACGCATCGAGTCTAGTGGATGCACCTAGCATGGTTCTGACGCAAGCATCGGGTAAAGGCTACTTTTTAACTCTCAAGGCGGTCTGGGTAAGCATCGAAATAAGTAAAAAAATGACTTGTTTTCTGGCTCGTGCATACTTACACGGACCGATCTGAAATAGCGAGGATTGTAGGTTCGCCTTATGACTTTCACCCCTGGACAGATAAGCTTGTTATGGATCTTCCTCATCCGTCAAAGTGGACAATTACTCTGATGGAAAAGAGAGGGCGTGGTGTGTGAGGTAATGATGTAGACATTGGATATAGAATTACATTGCATTGAGGAACCACCAACCTTGATAATTAATGTCCTGTAAATGGGCCACGATGTCGTGTGTACGACTCAGACACTCAAAAATAATCAGAGTACAACTACACGACAGAATCTATAACAAGCAGCTTTTTATTCCCAAAATGGTATCACAAAATCTTATCTCGTCCTATCTTCAGCCCCATATCCCGGTGCGCCTACGTCAACCTGTGGCTGTGGGGCTAACGAAGCCAAATTACGCCCACATACAGATGGACGCGAGTGCCATCGGCGGTAGGATTCCCCGAACTGTCAGACCGTGACGTGGGAATGTCACGTTCGAAGCCAGCCTTACACAAAACGCGCCCGGCGCCAGGCCTGGGGACTGGATCCGGATCCTCATACAGCTTTTTACGAGGCCTTTCGGCGCCCGGGCGCCTAAACCTCGGGCTTTACAGCACGGCCATCAAATCATATGGCGCGGTTTGAAGTTATGGTCGACTGGGCAGCGAAATGAATTGCAATAGAGGTTGATGTACGGGGAGGAGAGATGATGATTGGTATGAGCATTATTCTGGGCTACGCATAATGAAAATGGTCGAGTTTGGTTGAAACCTCGGTCGCATTTATTTATCCTGCGGGAAGTTCCTGTAAAAAAACAGCACTGGCACAGTGGACGAAAATTCATCGAATTAACTTTTGCGTTTTGAAATAAAGATGTCGACTTAACCTTGTCCTGTAGTTTTCACTGAACAGAAGTGGATTAGCGGCAACGCCGATAGGTTTCGTCAATGTCACTTCTGGAGTCTTCGGACGAGCCACATCCCAGGATTAACATCAGCTGCCTGTTTTTCATTTCAATTCACCTCCAGACGGCGGTGAATTCGGGCTGGTCAGGTAGCTGCGATTTATTGCCGCATCAGGCACCAGGAGTTTACGGGCTCGGTCCGCTGAGTTTTCGAGGAAAGCAGGCGCTATGCGGCACCACTGTGTCCGGGACGTGTCAAGGTGCACTGGAACTGCACCCGACGAGCAAACTTCCACAGAAGTGGAGACCAACTTTTACTCGGACTCCATAAAATTGCCTCCGAGTGCCAAAACAGGACCGTAAATCTAGGATTTCGCATAGATTTCTGTCCGCTGCGCGATTTCGTAGTTTCTGTCACTTGCATTATTGACAACTGAACAGTGCACTTTCCACAAACGTGACAGGTTCTTGACGCAACCTCTGATTCCATCGACACTCATTTAATGAGACATTTTAGGGCTCTTTTTCTATCCGAAACAATGACCGGAACACCATTTTGTAACATGCTCGATTTGCTTGTGCGGTACTGCCAACCAGCACGCTGTGGGCATTACCACAGTCGTGATGTTAACTCACATGCCACAGGTAGTGCTCATGCGGTCATAATACGAGCACTGTAAAACGAATTCGATTACGAGCACGACATACAAGCAAACCATCAATAAAGCATTGCTGGTTTTTAAATTCCATCTAATAACTATTGGTTTTGAGCTTCGTGTTGGTTGAACGTATAATTTGAAAGCAGGTGCAATTTTGTAATATTAGGGCCGAATACGGAAGATATATGAAATGGGTTCCAGGCAATGAAGATTTAGACCTTCATGCTGTCGGCCTGGTCTTTCCAAGAGCGAAACTAAAATGATGCTGATCACCTTTGATTACTATGTGGCAGCATTACATTCGGGAGACACCGCCGGAGTGGTAAAGAGCCTTTCTTGTCATTGTTCTTCTACGGCAGCACACATCCCCAGTTTGTGGACAACATCAGCAGATCATCCATGCGACGTCAGCAGATCAGCCATATGATTTTCCGCGGTATGTTCTTGACAGGTGCGTGATGTTACGATTGGTCGTAAAGCCCAAGACGCGGATCCCACGAAGGTGCGCACTGTTTAAAGGCTCGGCACCGTGCCGTCAAGTACTGTTAGTCATCTAACTGAACTAATTTAAGACAATCACAAACGCTCTCACCCCACATTATATATGTGCACTGCATACTGCTCCTGGTGATGCATATATGTGTGCCGCGTCAGCTGGTTTAATCGTTGCTAATGTACTTGAGTCCCACCAGCCAGCATCCACTCGTTTGGTTCTTGTGGAGAAGTCTCCCACGTATCCTAATCAGCTGACATGCCCTTATGTCAACCCTTCACCCATTGTGAGCCATGTCCTCACACTGTAAACTACCTAGTTTTGAAAAGGGCGAGTGGCATACTTGGTGCATGCGTGTGTTAGTGAGCGTCTTCTATGCTGCACTGATCACCCTTTTAATCGCATCACTTAAATCGAAGCAGAACAGTAACAGACTTTTTCGGCATGACCTCCTGGCCGTGCGGTTAGGACCTCGCGTTGCCCCGTTCACCGCCTTCGCCAACATGTCAGCTACTAGGTGGATACGGCGTACAATGACCTGGCAATTATGATCTGAATACAGCAGCCCCGTAATTGATATATTCCTTACGGCCAGCCCTCGTCATTTAGTCCTTGGTACCGCACTCCGCGTCGTTTCTTTAGCGTGATCCGCCGCGCCCGTACCGTTGTGTGGCTGCGCCGCGGATCCTGCGGCGGCGAGTGTGGCGCGCGCGAGCGGCGCGCTCCTGCTGGCTCGGCTCTGACCGGTGACTGGTGCGATGTTTCAGCAACTGTCAGTGTCGGACGGCTATCAAAGGAGAATGTCCCGCTACGTCGAAACGTCCAACGTATGTGATCTGGACACACGGTCACCCGCGTCACACTCCGTGCGCCACGAGACCTGCTCCCGTGCGTTCGTGGGCACGTCAACACGTAGTCACGCCGCCAAGCCGCACTGAGAGATGTTGCACAGAACTGCACAAGTGCACTGTTCATGACGCAAAGTTTCCTTCACGTCAATCTGCACAAGGCAACAATCACAGATAGGCACATTTTTTATGGTAGTATAGAGACTTCAAATTACATCATGATGGTATACGACTTTTAACGATTGTGGTTCATCGTCACGAAACGTTTGTTTGATTTCCGAGCTTTGGTTCTGAAATGTAACAAAACTGTAGGGTCATTGTAAAGTTGACTGGTTGTTTACACACGACAGGCAGACGGTAAGTTCCTCACACCAAAACACAATCATCAACAGTTTCACGTCAAAGCACACTTACCTGTTACACAAATACGCACACAAGGACACTAAATGAACAATCACATAAGTAGTGCCGGCGGCCAGCCCCCAGCCGCACACCACACTCATCTGTGTTGTCTGGTGAAATGGTGCGTAGTCTCATCAGTCGGCACGACAGCCCGCCCCTTCTCCACGGGACCCCTGTTTTGCAGTCGACTGACACCGTGTTGTGATTGTGTTTCTAACCTGTGCGACCTTCATGCCTGCTTGTCTGGGGCTGGAGAAGGAAGCATGCTTGCAGAAAACGAAATAGCGCGCCAGTGCGTTGCCAATTGAAACGGAAAACAGCGCTGACAGCGTGCCGCTGGGCCGCCACAGCGTTCTTTGGCTTGGCAAAAGTCCGGTAGCTCCAGCAGATATTTTCCCGAGTCGAAATGCAGTCTGGGTTGTTGGAAAACGAGCCATGCGAGGCGGGTCACCCTCTTGCTAAAGCAGGAGCAGCAAGATGCAGACATCTCATGCGTGTTGCATAGCGTTCACAAAAGGTACACTTTCGCCTGAGAAAACCGGTGATATGGATACAACATTGTTTCAAGTTAATCAACACGAATTAGTGCTAGCCGTAAAACGGAAAATACGGAAAACATTAATAGGCAGCTTAACCGCTCGGAGGAGGGTTAAGCGATTCCTGCCTTCATGTCAAAAACATTCTTTCGATGCGAATGTCGAAATCTGTCCCATGAGCTGTGATGTAAAAAGGTTGCTTCCAATTGTCAGCCCCAGTGTTTTAAGCCTTTTGTATCTCGCATGCTGCTCACACACGATGCTAATACCAAGAGCTTGTTAGCATTAAATCGGCACTGCACTGTCGGTTACAATACTAAAAAGTACGTCATGTCGTGTTATTTGCGTTTTTCTCGAAGACTTTTTATTTCTTCACATGTCTTTTAGTCGCATGTGTTTATCATGTCTTGTCTAGAGCAAGCATTTCCTTGGGTTTCGATGATTTAGAGATAGTGAATCGTCTCCAGGTAAGTAAGCATTTACAAAATACTTTTCCATAACGCTACAAAATACAAAAAAGCGTTCTCAAAATGCTATGGCATAAAGGTATGCATTATATGTAATCTAGGTCGATTGCATACAATATATCCTTAGGCGTAGTATGCACACATTTCTTACTTCAGATGCTAATGTACCCTGTGAATTTGCACAGCTTACTTTGGCTTTATTCTTGTAACCCAAGCGCGATGTCTGTATCGTGAGCTATCTGGTGAAAAGAGAGTAGTGCGTTTGGTCGCTAGCAATCTCTTAATCTTGCGTGGAAAGTTGAATAGGTCATTCCTTGCTTCGGGTTGCTTGGATTCCTACTCAACCCTTTTATTAATTGTGGCGCGCGTTAAAGTTATCTAGGTGAGAGAGCGCGGAACGCTTCTCAAGGCGCAAGCTCTTCTATGAAGGTGAATGACTGACAAACATCTGAGTGCTTTAGATCATCTTGCATGCATCATAGTGCATTCGGTGGGTGAGTTGAAAGCTAATCTGGGCACCGCTTTCAGTTTTAGTGCATTGACAGATAGACCTTGAGCAAGACTATTCGTTGGCAGTGATGCGATGTACAGGGACGGCCAAGTGGAGACACCGATACATGCAAGGCCTTGTGTAGAGAGGGTGCAGATGACCAGATAGTGATGGCATCTCCACGAAAAAGCTGCCTGATTTGACCACTCTTACGTCTTATGCGCTCTCAAGGGAAACAAACCTCCCGACGTTCGTCGCATTGCTGTATCTTTCCCCTTTCTCTCCGGGTAAGAGATCTTGCAGGGCTTCAAAAGCACTCACCCGTAATAGTTTTGTACAAGCTCCCTAGCGTTCTCAAAATGTGAGATGAAAGTGCAAAGTTACGCAGGGAGCGCAGCTTTGAAATGCTTCAAACGGGATGAGGTGGTAGCACTTGCCTCCCACCACACAACTGCTGTCGTATTTTGAAGTCGAAACTTGAACAGCCCTTTCTCTTTCCCGCACTGCATTAGAGAAAAAGCAGACAACCTCCCCAGACCTAATTACGACGACCCCCGTTCGGCACCCCGCGTCCCAGAGCCCGCGAACTTCCCCTCTCCTTCGCAACGAACCTACTGCTAGAAGTCGGCAGCGGCTCCGCCCGCCGGTGGCCGGCTAAACCCTCCACCTCCGGCGCGGTCCCCCGGCGCCGGCAGCCGGCTAAACCCTCCAGCGGTGCCGGCGGCTGGCCGAACCCTCCACCTCCGGCGCGGTCCCCCGGCGCCAGCAGCCGGCTAAACCCTCCACCTCCGGCGCGGTCCCCCGGCGCCGGCAGCCGGCTAAACCCTCCAGCGGTGCCGGCGGCTGGCCGAACCCTTCCCCTCCGGCGCGGTATCCTGGCGGCGCCGGCAGCCGGCTAAACCCTCCACCTCCGACGCGGTATCCTGGCGGCGCCGGCAGCCGGCTAAACCCTCCAGCGGTGCCGGCGGCTGGCCGAACCCTCCACCTCCGGCGCGGTCCCCCGGCGCCGGCAGCCGGCTAAACCCTCCAGCGGTGCCAGCGGCTGGCCGAACCCTCCACCTCCGGCGCGGTATCCTGGCGGCGCCGGCAGCCGGCTAAACCCTCCAGCGGTGCCGGCGGCTGGCCGAACCCTCCACCTCCGGCGCGGTCCTCCGGCGCCGGCAGCCGGCTAAACCCTCCAGCGGTGCCAGCGGCTGGCCGAACCCTCCACCTCCGGCGCGGTATCCTGGCGGCGCCGGCAGCCGGCTAAACCCTCCACCTCCGACGCGGTATCCTGGCGGCGCCGGCAGCCGGCCAAACCCTCCCCCAACAGCGCGGAAACCCGGCGGCGCCGGCATCCGGCCAAACCGTCCACCTCCGGCGCGGTACCCGGCGGCGCTGGCGGCCTCCAGCCGGGGCCGTGATCTGAGCCTCAGCAGCGTCCCAGACAGCCAGCTGAACAATGCATAGGTGGCGGACGGACGGACGCCGCCGCCCACTCAGCCGCGCTTCCTCGCTGGCGGGAGAGCCGGCATCGAGGCCGCGGCGGCCGCCCGTACGGGCCTCGCTGGTGACTCGCCTGGCAGCTCCTCAGGACCGGCCGATGGAGGCCGTTGTGAGCCAGGCAGGCCTCCGTGGCAGTTAGATGGGTGCTGCTACCGTGAGATGGATAACTGACAAGATCTGACACAAAAAAAACGCGCCATCGGCTCTCTGTCTTTGTTATCATCTCTGTTCAGCGCCTCAATAGCATTTGTTCATTGGCGGCACACACGTTTCATACGAAATATCTGTACAGATGAAAGCAGAAACGGCTGCGCAGACAGAAAAGCAATGCGCTGCGTTCTTATCTACAGAGAACGCAGTGTTCTCGCGACGCTCGATGCTCGTCCGTCGCGAACCTTTCATGGAACTCCGGTGACTGCGGTTGTCATGTTGACGTCCAGGACCCACGGCGCAACTGGGATCTGAACCCGAGTTCTTTATATTGGGAGTCTGAAGTCCGAACCAACAGTTTCGTCCCTCGTATCATGCAGGGTTTGTTTACAGCAGAAAAACACTTGACGGTCGGATCGTTGAGTGTGAGTTTTTAGAGGGAATCCTGCTAAATGGAGCTGTCCAACATCCTGGCAGCACCGCTAAGGTTTGATTCCGCGAAAAGCTTCTCGCGTAGGTTATTCTTTGCCGGACTCCCGGACATATATATATATATATATATATATATATATATATATATATATATATATATATCTGTGTATAAATATGGAGATGAAAAATTCCTACTCAAAATTTCTTTTTAGACCCATATTGTTGCGATGCCCGAATAAACCCAGCCTAAGCCTAATTCGGCACCCGCCGCGCCACAGATTAGGCGTTTTCATGCAAGGCACGTTACGTTAGCAGGCACTACGGTTCACCATTCCGTGACATTGACAAAACAAGTGCAATGACCGTGCAGCCATACGGGCTTGTGGCTCAAAGGAGGATCGGGTGCTCCTGAGCTCCCAGGTGATGGGGTCGTGGTCCACGCGAATATCTATCCTGAAAGGACTGCGATCATGGAATGTCGCGGCTGTGTGGCGATCCGGGGCTGCCATAATTATCTCGCTATTTTCACTGCACACCCGCATATGCTTCTCGGCTGTTTTCCCATCTTTGTTCGGACCCTACGTTATAGGAAGACGAACCGTCCCGTGACGTTTCGAAGCGGACATCGAAGGAGACGGGCTCGACGTCTACGGGGACAGGTCTCACAGAGGAAGAGAGTCAGAAGGGTCAGACGGTGTCTGCCGCCGGGTTAGCGGTGGCTTTGTTCTTCGCGGGTTAGTTAGATGATCTAATACAGTGAGTGAGGCCTAAAAAAAGTTGCAGAACACTTAAGATGCTACAGGGCTGAAAGATGTCATATTCTAGTAAAAAATAATGCGTCTTCGTCTGTATCCCCCATTGTACCCTTGTTTGTCATTTATCGCTATTCACTTCCATAAATACAAATTAGATTCGACATAAAAATGAACGATCATTTTGAGCAGCTGCTGCATTCTTAAGGATTCTTAAGGATTTCTTAAGGATAAGGAAAATAGACGCCGGAGTCTGAAGTTGGTATGGCTTTTGGGCTCGGACATTTTATTGAACTGTTTGCTGTCCGACCGAACTGAACTTCCCAGGCAGTCGCAGATTCTACAGCTGTTAAACCTCAGGCACGAAGATGCTCCGCTTGTGCCCCCTTTCGGTCACCGCCCTCTCGACCATGGCTTCCCGAGCCCGTGCCCTCCCAGTCGTCTTTTCTCCCTGTGTGACACCGGCCGTTCTCCTGTGAATGAGCCGTTTTTCGCGGCACCGTGTCCCCCATTGGGCCAGTGACGGAGCGGCACTACGTCCATTAGCGTGGAAAAGGCTGCTCCGTTTTTGCTCCCTTCGGCTCATGCATGGGCTCGGCTAAATGGATGGCACCGAAGCACAGAGTGGCTCTCTTAGCGGGCCGGTCGTCAAGTCCTCTTTCGGGGAGTCCTCTTTCGGGCAGTCCGGGACAATGCGACAAGGAAACAATCAGGACAATGACCGTAACAGCATGGTTTGGTTTAGTGCGCCAGCTTTCGCGCTTGCTTGAATCAGTAGGTCATTTTTGTCCGCTGTCCTTTCACTTGCGAAATAGTTTTATGTATGCTGGTTGCTTACCTGTAGTGATGATCGTAGCCTTTTGACCTGAAGGTATCGATTCCGCTGTGGAATGAATTCACGGGACATAATGAAATGAAAAAAGATGATAAACTGAAATAAGTGAAGCGAAGCGTTAACAAGGATGCAGTAAGTGAAATCGTTCTAAGCAACGTGAAAGATGAAGGAAATAGTAAAAAAAAGCATAAAGAACCAATTCAAACAAAAAAAAGGGCAGCACGGGATTTGCTCGGCACGGTGTCAAGTGGTTCAATGCAATTCAGTGGTACTTCACCCTCCATCGCTGCCAAAAATACGGTCAGTCTATCCCCATTTGAATCGTGCGCGCATTGTTTTCAACCGTCCGTTTGTGGCACCCAGAAGACCCGCGACACTCCGTCAATCATATTTAAATAGCATGTAAACGTGCCTATGTGCGATTGTAAGCAAGGGCCTGAGTTACCGTCGATAAGCTGCAGGAATACGTGATAAGTCGTGCGATGGAGAACGGAAATGCATGTAAGGTGAAAAAGTTACACATCATGCTACTGTGAGCACTAGATTGACGCAGAGAGCGTAGTGAAGCCTGCCGTTTATTATGTGCTGTTTTTTTACTGAATGTTCGGTTAGCTATTCCAAAAACAAGCATCCAATGGCATAGGGTCGACTCGGTGATCCTGCGTGGCCTGATCTTTCCGCACGGTCGCAGGTACATTAATTCAGTCCTTCTGAAAATGCTTCTCGGGCTGTAGAAAGCAAATCCTCTGAAACGCCTCCGCATCATACACGCACGAAATGGTACAGCAGGCCTGAAACAAACTCGCCGAATCAACCCAATGGGCCTAGTAGCGCGATGAACGTGTACGAAACGCATTCACTCTAATAACAGTTCAGAGCGAAATCAGAATCCAGCGCCCGCTGTGGCAACGACAGCCCGGTGCTCGCTCGGCGGAGCACGGCCGCCTCACCAATCGCCATTGTTTGAGCACGTCTCGACTACGGCGACCGTGCTTCTGCCTATTACTGAGCGCCGGCTGATTGGAGAAACCCGAGCCGCCCGGCCCGAGAGGCCTCTTGGGGTGGCGAGAGCCCCTCCCCACCCCGCCGCACCATGTCCCGAGGTGGCGCCAGCTCTGGTTCGCCTCGAGTTTGATGAACGGCACTGCGAGCGCTTCAAGTTAACCGGAACGGTGCTGCAGTCGGCAGCCGTGCCACGTCGCGGCTGTGCATTGTTTTATTCTTACCGCCCTTTCAGACGCTTTCCAAATAAGCAGTGATTTAAAATGTTTCTGCATGCGTGAAAGCCTAATATCTCTAACAACCTTTACGCTAAGCGAACAGTTTTATTGGAAACCAGGAGGTAACCATGTAACCATGCAGCCAGTCCATGTAACCATGGACTCGGGATCACTGTTCAGTTAGTTAGTCACCTGCTGAGTTAGACCCATGAACACAAGACGTCAAGCCTCGACTCGAACTCCTCAAAGTGGCAGTCTGTTCTGCCAGGCATTTTGCCAGCACGATAAATTAAATAAGCCTTTTCGTGGTATAACACGGTGTTTCCATGTCAGCCCGCAAAGCCCCAGGGCATGGATGATATTTTCGAGCAAATCGGTCACACGAAACGTCAATTCACATCCACGTGCATGTTCGAAAGTACGGAGAACATCTTCCACTCGAAGGGGATGTCCAGAGCGTAAGGATGTGCTTTCCCAAATATGCTGCGCGTTAAATCAGGCACGGTTAGAAGAGCTGAAAATGGCGACAGAAATAAAACTCAGGCCTGAGCTGTGAGACCTCGGGGCCCGCGATCCCGTGCACAACACCATTACAGCTTGCGCTGTACTGGTGGACGCTTCATTCTCGTCATGACACTTAGCGGGACACGATCTGCTAAATTGTTGCGTTGAGGTGGTTTCGGACGGCTTTTCGCGGCCAGCTGGTGGGCTGTGCGTTGGCTGTCATTACCTCAGTCGTCTGCTTCTTACCTGTGGCTATACCCAGCCCACCAACGTTACCAACAACGTAAAACAGCCAATGTTTTAAATATTCCCACCTCGCTGCGTGAGTGCGTTGCACCTTGACGTTAAACTGACCTGTTCAAAGACGCCCTGCAGTGAAGCAAGACTTTCGCGGTATCCGTGCCTCTTGTATTCTGTCCATCTGGGCTGGATAACACGGTAGTCCCCAGTCAGCGCTCCAGCGAGTCCTTCGAGCGGCCAGCCGTTATCGCCGCTTCACCAGCCACCCTGTCCCGACAGAGCTCGCGGATGAACTCGATGGACGAGGACGCCATGCTCTGCCACTACATGATGCCGAGCCACTCGCCGAGCCGGCCGCGCCAGAACTCGCTGATGGTGCCCATCACCAGTCAGCTGACTGCGGCGCGCAAGGTCAAGTCCGCCGTCGACCTGGTGTCGCTGGTGATCGCCGAGCAGCGCGAGCAGCGCGAGAGTCTCTCGGGCGGTGTTCACCAGACCAATGTGTGATGCGAGGCTCTCGGGCGGCCGTCACCAGACCAACGTGCGATAAGTCTCTCGGGCGGCGTTCACCAAACCAACGTGTGACCGACCAGCATCAGACGCGACTCTGTTACGGTCCGAACATCACACGCCCCGGGTGAGGCCAGCAGCATCGTGTGGGCTGAAATGCACCCTGGACTGCCGCGGTGGTAACCGACCCACGGCGCGCGCTGGGAAGCGTGAGCGCGTCGGCCCTTCAGCGAACCCCTTCGAGGGTTCGTGCCATCGCGGAATATAACGCACAGAGCGACCACGGCCACCGGGTCACGGTCACGTGGTGATGGGGCGACCATGTGAGGAGACTGCCACCGGGAACATCGCTGTCCCGAATGTTGTGGTGACGCTAATATGTAGGCGCTCTGTGCCATAGTTCTGCCCACGAGGCAGAACACTGCTGTATTGGATCGCTACTATCCGTGTACCATAAGAGTAGCTTAGCGCGGCCCGTGATGCTTGCCCGGTCTGTGGATTGCTTTTGGAGACTATAGCACTCTATTCGCACCAAGCTGATGAACTTGCAATAGTACCTCCTGCCGAGGGTAGCCTATACTAAGCTGCTTCCGCCGACACGTCTGCAGCTGCCGTGATTACGTTTGTGTGCTGTCCATCTTCTGTCGGCATGTCTCATGCGTCAGCAGCCAGCTCTGTCAGTGTTGCGGCCGCTGACTGCGGAGGGGAGGTGTCGGTCTTTGGCCAGTGGGGTCAGCTGGTCCGCGGCTGGGGGTGTCATGCCGCTCTCTTCCATGTGTATCATAATCAAATGGGGCACGTAGGGGGTGGCGGGCCGCGCGGTGATTGCTTGCACGGGATGAGTGAATGGGTGCGAGGAAAGGGGAAGCAGAGAGTGAAATTGTGTGTGTGAGGGAGAGGGAGATAGGGGAGAGGGAGGAAGAGAGAAGGAGGGAGCGGGAGAGGGAGGGAGGGAGGGAGGGGGGAGGGAGGGAGGGAGGGAGGGAGGGAGGGAGGGAGGGAGGGAGGCAGGGAGGCAGGGAGGGAGGCAGGGAGGGAGGCAGGGAGGCAGGGAGGGAGGTAGGGAGGGAGAGAGGAGAGAGGTAGTGAGGGAGGGAGGTAGAGAGGGAGGGAAGGAAAGAGGAAGGGAGAGGGATAAGGGGACGGAGCGAGAGGAGAGAGGAACAATGGAAGGATTGATTAACCGAAACAGGCAGAAAGTCACAGAAAATATAAAAATAGATAACAAAACAGAGGATGGCGGTAAATAAGACAGATCATGACAGAAATGGATGAACGGAATAAAAATATCGAGAGCAGAGAAAGGAACCTAACGCAAACTGGCACGTAAGAAGAGGCACTTGCTGAAAGTTTGCATGCAAGAATTCATTGAGGACGGAAGTGGTTAATGTTTGACAGTCATTTGCGCGTGCATATGTACTCCCGCACATTGGTAAAGATCGACGTCGTTTCACGTACTGTCAATGTTCCTATTTTAGCTATTTATAACGTATTGCCCATGAGCGCATTGTTCGTGATGAAGTCTGGAAGCTCCAGGCGTCCATATTTTGCACTCGATGATTACTTCCATGCGGAAACTTGTCCATGTCGACTTTTTGTGCGGGCTCGTGGGGTTCGAACGTGACATGTTCTCATGCGCCACGAGGAGCTCGATTCGAGGTTGTTCATCTCCATCCCCGTCGCTACGAACTGTTGCTGAATCTGTGCGTCATGTAATACAAGACTGCTGTGCGCGTGCTTCTGTGAGCACCCAGCCCGACGGCAGGGATTTGCCTCGACCTCCGATCCGCGCGTCTTCTGCTGGCGCTGCGCTTCCGAAGAGCAGCGGTCGGCAGCGGTGTGCCAGGGGCGGGCGCCGCTCTTAAGAAGCAGAAGTGCAGAGGTCCCAGTGAGTGCCCTGGAGCTACCTGCTGAGGCTCAGCTCGAGTTCAGTTGTAATTTTCTACCAGTTAAGTCCCAACACGCATATGACGGTGGGCCTATTTTCTATAATTGCATGTCCTCAGGTTGCATGCTCCAAGGTGGTCCAGCGGTAGTCCACGGTAGTCCAGCGATAGTCTACGATAGTCCAGCGGTAGTCCACGGTAGTCCAGCGGTAGTCCACGGTAGTCCAGCGATAGTCAACGATAGTCCAGCGGTAGTCCACGGTAGTCCAGCGGCAGTCCGCGGTAGTCCAGCGGTAGTCCACGGTAGTCCAGCGGTAGTCCACGGTAGTCCAGCGGTAGTCCACGGTAGTCCAGCGGTAGTCCGCGGTAGTCCAGCGGTAGTCCACGGTAGTCCAGCGGTAGTCCACGATAGTCCAGCGGCAGTCCACGGTAGTCCAGCGATAGTCCGCGGTAGTCCAGCGGTAGTCCACGGTAGCCCAGCGGTAGTCCACGGTAGTCCAGCGGCAGTCCACGGTAGTCCAGCGATAGTTCAAGGTAGTCCCGTCCGAGCGGCGCGAACTGGTCCTTGGTGATTCCTTACTTGGCGCGGTCCCGCGGCCTTACGTAAAGACGTACCCAACCCACAGTCCAACCGATTGGTGTTTTACGTGGGCATTACCGAAAGGAGGTGTCTGAAATCTGACCGCCCGCCGAGAGGTCTTTTCCCTGAGTCTGGTGATGGCTTAGCCAATTCAGCCAAACTTATGTCAGATCAGTCCATCCCATTCCCAGCCAGGTCAGCTCAGCCCCAGCCAGGTCAGCTCAGCCACAGCCAGGTCGGCTCAGCCCCGGCCAGGTCAGCTCAGCCACAGCCAGGTCAGCTCAGCCCCAGCCAGATCAGCTCAGCCGCAGCTGAACCATGCTCGAACCAATCAGAGCGACAGACGTGTGGCCGCGCCTCACACCTTCGGCGCACCGCCGGAGGCACGCCACTGACGCGCCGCGGGGGGGGATGCCGGGCCGACAGGAGCGCGCTTCCGGCCGCGCCCACGCCGCCAGGGGCGGCCGACAGCGGCCCGTCGCTCGGCGCGCACGGCACGACACGACCGTGCGCGTTCCAGCCTGGCCCCTCGTGCCGGGCTGTCAGATCCGCGCGGCGGCGGTCGGACGGGCGGCGGCGGCGGCACGGCCCGCCCCCGGGGCGTGCGGGAGTCTGCGGACTGGCAGCCTGTCCCGTGGAGAGCCTCGCGTGCCCGGAGCTCGAGCTCGAGCCGGCGGTAGCATGTTCAAGTTGACGGTGGTATTCACTGGCCGGTCATTTGGTGGTGGGAGAAAGGTTCGAAGTTGGGACTGCCGATTGAACCGATTCGGTCACGCTTGGCTCCCGTGACCCCGCGGGGTCAATGAAAGTCAATGGCAGTCGGGTGGTGGATGTGGTCTGCATGACCATGCAATCGAGCGCGCCAGCAGCGTTTTATGCAGCAATAGTACATGAAACCGATGCGAGCTGCTTTCCATGTACTTCGTGATGCATGGAAAGCGGCGTTTCTAAAGTGCGACACACGCCTTCTCAATCACATCGACGAAATGACCAAAAATGTGGGCAAATTGAACTTACACACCTATCTATACGATAGTACATCAGACTCCTAGGCTCACTCTGGCTCGGATTTACGCCACATACATCCAAACCTACTTTGAATAGCGCGACGTAGTGTACGACGGATACCGCTGTGACTGGGTTATTCAGACTTACAGTCCGAGTCAAAGGCTTCAAAATAACGCTGCGAGATTAATGATGGGCGCGCACCTCAGAACGCCAATTCAGGCGTGGTCTCAGATGGAGCTCGCTCAATACAAGACGCAGACACACAAGTTAATGCGGTATTTCAAGCTCCAAGACATGGGGCGACGCTATCCAATCTTGAAACATCGGTCGTTCACAGCCCGCGACAGCAAGACATATCACTAAACTGGCGCGACGCAGATACCCGATCGCAACCGCTCGGCCTTCTCACCTCATTTCAGCGTACCTTTGTTCCTGCTACAACTAAACTCTGAAGTCAGTTCCTTCTTCGTATCCCATCAAAGACTTCGCTGCCAAATTTCAAGCGCGCTTTTTTCCAGATGCTGGATATTAACTCTCCACCACCATGTTACTCTTAGGCAAAAAGCAGCAATCTTCTATGCGCTTCTTGTGAGCATGTTCTCCCTGAATGTTCACCGATTTGTTAAAACATAGCAACCCATCTCGTTTGCGGGGTTGCCCTTCAAAAAACGTTGCCACCTTTATTTTGAACTGTTCGTCCCATCATGCCGGCAGACAACACCACTTTAAATCATTTCAGAACACCACAACACGATTTCACTTATCCCCTCTCACACAACCTTGACATACACAAAGCCGGTCCGGGCGGCAGCAACGGTTGTGCGAAGGCTCATAAATTCCTTAATCAGATCAGCTCAATCCCTAAGCACGCGAGGGGCAGTTGGGCGAGCGGCGGACCTGCCGCGGTGGCGGCATTCAAAGTTATATTTGGAGCACGTATGCGGCGGTGGTCAGACGACCATTACATTTGAAATTGCCCACGCGGAGAGCAGACTCGTTTAAGGCGGGTTGGCATTTGCAGCAATCTACCAGGGAGCATTAAATGTGTGTATTACGTAAAGGAAGTGTAATCGTACGAACGCCACGGGAATGTCTCTTATTATACCTTGCATCAGAATGTAAGCGTTGGGAAAAATCTAGCGCATGCGATAAGGCAATGTCCTGATTTATCTACAAACCACAGACAAAATGTTTGCACCGTAATCGTCAACGCCATTTGCGCCGAATCGGTGAGCCTAATTAAAACCACAGGACCTTCCAAAGAAAATCACTTTATGTTAAATACGTAAAAAGTCGTGTCACAGACTCCTCATTTATTTGTGATCTCTCGTTCGCATGGGTTCTCTTTGCGCTGTACTTATCCTGCAAAGCCTTGTCCTTAAAACAAGCTCTGTTCGATGCGAGTACCAGGTAGCGGTATTTTCCCTATGATGGCGCTCTAACCCGTTGCGTTGCCACCGCAGGCAAGGACCAGAAATACGAATGTTTCAGGCGGTCAGGATTTGTTGTAGTTAAAATGTTTCTTATTGGAAATTTTTCTTGGTATGGAGTGAAAAGCTTGCAAATCAAAAATGTGCTTTTATGAATCCAATCTTTTCGTATAATTAAGTTTTCTGCCATGGGACAAGGCCGATACCTGCTCCCATGGTTATAACTACACGAAACCATGCAGTGCAATCGACTGTCAACGACACATCATATTCCGCATATTCTCGACAATCAAAACAGGTCGACAAACCAACAAACGCATGAATAGGGAGTCAAGAATTACTTAAGCTGTTGTCAGCAGCGTTTTCACAAAATGGGCCTGTGATCACACGTGATTCGCAGTGTTCCAGTGGGGAAGCCATTGAAAGCACCGTTAGCGAAGCAAAACCCATGAAACTGCATCGCCTCATAAGGTCATATCTCAAGAACGGCTATTGCCAAGTCCAATAATTCTTATATGGGCGCCATAGAAGCGAACGTTCGAAATTCGGCACCATATTATTAAGACAAAGTGGATACTGTTGTGAACCTGACAACCATGTGTGACACAAGCAGAACAGTTCTCGGCCTAATCCCTGTCATACTGATGAAGCATAGAGCTTAGCGTAATTTTGTGAGACATATTCCTGGTCTGATAAGACAGTAGTAATACATAAATCTCCTGCTATTCGTTTCGATAAAGGCGTGTTGACGAAATATTCACACATCTTTATCTCCATTCCCTTGGTTTTTCTCCGAGGAATAAAGCTATTACTACTGGCTTATCTATGTGCATAATGCTCCTGCAAGTGTGCTTAACAGCACTGTAATTTTTCTGGTTTGCGTAAATACTGCGTGATCATAGATATTGTGTTCATAGGAAGTGACGTCAACAGGAAAGGACTAGAGTGACAGTGTTCTTCAAACCCTGCCAAAATGGGGTTAGCCAGCTTGTTCAGGC